AATGCTTCTTATCTCATTCCGATATCTCAATTAGTTCTTGAGATACGACATTTTTAATTTGATAATGTTAACTTGATAGTTGTGAAATGTGCGGAGTTGTATTTAAAGTACCATACTAATGGGATTTATGGAAACTAAGAAATCATTTATGGCACAATAAAACTAGATTAAATTTGCTTTAAAATGCTTCTTATCTCATTCCGATATCTCAATTAGTTCTTGAGATACGACATTTTTAATTTGATAATGTTAACTTGATAGTTGTGAAATGTGCGGAGTTGTATTTAAAGTACCATACTAATGGGATTTATAGAAACTAAGAAATTATTTATGGCACAATAAAACTAGATTAAATTTGCTTTAAAATGCTTCTTATTTCATTCCGATATCTCAATTCGTTCTTGAGATACGATATTTTTAGTTTGTTTATGAACCTAAATAGCTGTAATACTTACAGAATTCTATTTGAAGTATCGTAATAACGAAATTTATGGAAACTAAGAAATCATTTATGGCACAATGAAACTAGATTAAATTTGCTTTAAAATGCTTCTTATTTCACTAAGTTATCTCAATTAGTTCTTGAGATACGATTTGTGTAGTTTATAATGTTACTGTGATAGCTGTAACACGTGCAAAGTTCTATTTAAAGTGCTATAATAACGGTATTTATGGAAACTAAGAAATTATTTATGGCACAATTAAACTAGATCAAATTTGCTATAAAATGCTTCTTATTTCATTCCGATATCTCAATTAGTTCTTGAGATACGACATGTTTAATTTGATAATGTTAACTTGATAGTTGTAAAATGTTCACAGTTCTATTTAAAGTACCATAATAACGAGATTTATAGAAACTAAGAAATTATTTATGGTACAATAAAATTAGATCAAATTTGCTATAAAATGCTTCTTATTTCATTTCGATATCTTAATTAGTTCTTGAGATACGATATCTCTAATTTGATAATGTTAACTTGATAGTTGTAAAATGTGCAGAGTTCTATTTAAAGTACCATAATAATGGGATTTATAGAATCTAAGAAATCATTTATGGTACAATAAAACTAGATTAAATTTGCTTTAAAATGCTTCTTATCTCATTCCAATATCTCAATTAGTTCTTGAGATACGATATCTCTAATTTGATAATGTTAACTTCATAGTTGTAAAATGTGCGGAGTTGTATTTAAAGTACCATAATAATGGGATTTATAGAAACTAAGAAATTATTTATGGCACAATATAACTAGATTAAATTTGCTTTAAAATGCTTCTTAGTTCATTCCGATATCTCAATTAGTTCTTGAGATACGATATTTTTAGTTTGTTTATGAACCTAAATAGCTGTAATACTTACAGAATTCTATTTGAAGTATCGTAATAACGGAATTTATAGAAACTAAGAAATTATTTATGGCACAATAAAACTAGATCAAATTTGCTTTAAAATGCTTCTTATTTCATTCCGATATCTCAATTAGTTTTTGAGATACGATATTTTTACTATAGATGTGAATTTTTTCCAAAAAAACCCACTGTTTAAAAACGATGAAAGATATTTTATTCAATTATGAAATCGGTGCTACGTTACGTTTCAACCAATAAGTTGGTCTTCTTCAGGCACGTCGTCTTAGGATGTAGAAAATGGAGGATATGATCTATATAAACTTAACATCGTAAAAGCAATGAAGACAATTCGTTATTTAGACGTACATAATTTTTGTTGAAGTTTAAAATGTACATGTGGGTCGAATTCTTTATATACATATATATGGATGTCTACTATTATTAATACTCAAAAATCAAAAAACAATAGACAGTACTTTGTAAAATGACGACTGGAATACAATTTGCAGAACAGGTTTTGAAAATTTGGACTTTACTGCAATGTGTTCGATGTGTATATATCGAACCATAATAATGGGATTTATGGAAACTAAGAAATTAGTTATGGCACAATTAAACTAGATCAAATTTGCTATAAAATGCTTCTTATTTCATTCCGATATCTCAATTAGTTCTTGAGATACGATATCTCTAATTTGATAATGTTAACTTGATAGTTGTAAAATGTGCGGAGTTGTATTTAAAGTACCATAATAATGGGATTTATAGAAACTAAGAAATTATTTATGGCACAATAAAACTAGATTAAATTTGCTTTAAAATGCTTCTTATTCTGTTCCGATATCTCAATTAGTTCTTGAGATACGATATTTTTAGTTTTATAATGTTACCTTGATAGCTGTATAATGTGCAGAGTTCTATTTAAAGTACCATAATAATGGGATTTATGGAAACTAAGAAATTATTTATGGCACAATTAAACTAGATTAAATTTGCTTTAAAATGCTTCTTATCTCATCTTGATATCTTAATTAGTTCTTGAGATACAATATTTTTGGTTTGAAATGTTACCTTGATAGCTGTATAATGTGCAGACTTCTATTTAAAGTACCATAATAATGAGATTTATGGGAACTAAGAAATTATTTATGGTACAATAAAACTAGATTAAATTTGCTTTAAAATGCTTCTTATCTCATTCCGATATCTCAATTAGTTTTTGAGATACGATATTTTTAGTGTGATAATGTTACCTTGAAATGTGCAAAGTTATATTTAAAGCATCGTAACAACGGAAATTATAGAAACTAAGAAATCATTTATGGCACAATAAAACTAGATTAGATTAGCTTTAAAATGCTTCTTATTTTATTCTGATATCTCAATTAGTTCTTGAGATACGATATTCTTAGTTTGATTATGAACCTAGATAGCTGCAAAAAATGCAGAATTCTATTTAAAGTACCATAATAACGGGATTTATGGAAATTAAGAAATAGATTAAATTTGCTTTAAAACGCTTCTTGTTTCATTAAGATATCTCAATTAGTTCTTGAGATACGATTCTTTAAATTTTGTAATGTTACTACCTCGATAACTATTAAACGTGCAAAATTTTATTCAAAGCATCATAATAACGAAATTTATAGAAACTAAGGAATTATTTATGGCACATTGTATCTTCATTAAATTTGCTTTAAAATGCTGTAAATCTCATCTTGATATCTCAATCACTTTTTGATCCACGATTTTTTTAGTTTGATAAAATTGTTTTGATAACTATTAAACATACAGGATTCTGTTTAAAAGACTTTTAGGTATCTAATACTTTCTTGGTTGTATGCGAGAGTTCAACAGCTATTTTTTTATCTTTTTTTAGAAATCCCGATGAACAGCCTTAAATTGAGATACGCCAGACATTGTAATGTAATGACATGGATATGGAAACGAGTTTTTCTCGACTTGAAAGATTTTCGCAAATTTTTTGACTTCTGGGTGATTTGGGCATACTTTTGTATGATTTTGTGTATACTCATCGTATTTGGTAGATTCTTCTGAACATTATAAGACTAAACAAAACGCAGAAGATTCAACGTTGTAACTGCATTTTTTGATTTCATCAAATCACATCAATTTGTTTTATTTCAAATATGACAGACAAATCTACAATCTTTATCTTACAATAACTTTATTAAATTTTCTTCAAAACGGTTGTTGTTTCATTACGATATCTTATTTAGTTTGTGAGATACGATCTTTTCAATTTCCGTCGTTATCAAAACCGATACGCAGGGTTGTATTTAAAAAATCGTAGCAACCAAGTTTATAGGAATTAAGAGATGGTTTATCTCACATTGTAACTAGATTAAATTTGCTTTAAAATGATACATAATTTTGTTATCTTAGTTTGTTCTTGAGATATAAACTTTTGAAATCTAAGAAATGATATTAAGACGCATATTTTGTTGTATATTTTCAGTTTGATTCATTTTTTTAAAAATGATTTGTTGCAATATTCAATCTAATATCTAAATATAGCATTCAAAACAAGTATAAATAATTCCAAATATGCGTTAACGATCATTTTTTTTGTTCGTATGATTAACTCTCATCAAGAACGATAAATAGAAGCACGAGTGAACCTCTCTCTAAGAATACGAGAGGTCACTGGAAATAAAAAGAAGCTGAATCGGACGGCGTCGAGATGATATTAAACGCGCCACGATAAGGATAAGGATTTATCTACAAAGAAGTCCGCAGAAAGGAAAAATGTGAATGACTTGAAAGGCAAGCACTAAGAGAACGATGTTATATAACGATGAAAATAATAAAAAAAAATGAAATAAGAAACCATAAATAGCAGAATAAAAATAAAGCGGTACTGATTTAAAGGGAAAAGACAATGTGCAATAATAAATAAGCGTAACCATGATGAATAATATCGGCGCGATAACGGCAACAATTGATAACGCCACGTTCGATTGAAGGTCGAAGGCGATTCATTTACGACGAAAACACCGCTTTTGGCGCCGTTTTGCTCGAATCCGCTGGCTAAATACCTGTATTTGCCACGCAAATGCTAACGTTAAAGGAATTGTTTTCTCTGTCTATTTTGAGCGACGGTGTTATCTCAAAGACTTTTAACCTGCCGTTACCGACAAAAAAAAAAAAAACGAGAATCCTACTTTGTTTCAACCTTTCACGCTGTTGAGTAACCTTAAATCATTATTTGCAAATTCCCAGAAATTTATATATAACATTATTCCATTCTTTTATTGTATAATTATCTATTCATCATTATTTCAGATAATTTTTAAAAATGTACCGACAAAGTAATCGTGCCTATATCAATCAACCTCAATTTCCTTATACAAACCGTATCAATATAAAACGTGGTAAAAACATGCGGGTTACTTGTACCAATTAAACCACCCCCGTTTTTAAACCAGACGAAACAAATTTTTGGTTATTTAGTACTTTTAATAGCCACTCAATAAAATTATTGTGTTTTATTCGGTTAATTCACCACGTTTCATTTTAGATAAAGAAAATTGTTATTGGAAAAAATGTGCGTTAAACGTCTTGCGACATCTTTGAATGAAATGAAACACTCCAAGGAGGTAACTTCTGGGTGAAAGAAAAAATGGTTTAAATTTAAATTGGTCCTAGTTTATTTTTGGGTTAATCCACTAAGTTTTCTATTTCTACGTTTCTACAATACTTCTTTTTGTCTATGTACAACAAGATAATAATATTAATTAGTTAATTTCAAAAAACACTTAGTTTTGATATCATTTCTTTTTAATAAGGATGACACGCTCCTAAATTGCAATGTTCGTATTGAACACGATCTAAACATGGTTCTCCTCTTCCGCTAGGTCGAACGATAATGTTTCTTGTTCGTTGTCTTATTGCATTTGGACCACATGTATGGCTACAAGGTGACCAATGTGACCAATTATCCATTACGCAATCAATATCTTCGGGGGATTCTACAAAAATATTTAAATCAAAAAAATTATATTTAAAAAACATCAAATTTACCAGTTGTTCTTTCAGATTTACAATGAACTCTACATTTCTTTTTTTTAATCAATTTTTCAGGACATTTTTTTCCATTATTTTGAGAATGTCTCTGTAAGAAAAAAATAGTTTAATAATTATTAATAAATTCGATGTAACAGGTTTGATAAGATTGGATTTTAAATCTTAAAAATATTTTCAAAAAAACAATGTAGTGGTGTTACATATTAGCACAAAGGGTTGAAAATAAGGGCAGAATGGTTTAAATGCTAACTATTTGGAGATATTGCCTAGAAATGTTTGGCCAAACATAAAGTGGAGATAAGTTCATCTCTTGAACGATTGCAAGATCCTCGCTCCAGTATTAGAAAGATATCAAATTCTTTAATTCTCTATTTGGAATTATCCTGGAGCTTCCTCTTTACCGGCTGCTTTATGGATTCCAATCGAACGCCTTGTTTCGCAAGATTGTTCCGTTTTCTGCAAAATCTGCATTTTCCAGAACCCAATCTAGTACAATATTGAATAGTAGGGGTGATAGCGAGGTACCTTGCTTTACTCTTGTCTTAACTGTTATTAAACTTGCACCTATGCAGCATATTGCTTTTTGCATCGTGATACAGTGACTTGCCACAGCCTCATCCAGCACCTCCTTCCAATCCATTACCTCTTCCTTCAACTCATCACACTCTACCGGTAGATGGTTTAAAGCAGGAGTGGGCAAACTGAACAACTCAACAATATTTTTTACTTTTCCTTGTAGTTGTAAATTAATGGCCCATAAAATCAGTAAGAAATGCTTTTTATTTACCCATACTGGATCTTTCGATTGTTCATGTTTGTCTCCCAATGTGTCAAAAAATGCAATAATTTCAGGAAAAAGATTTAGAAATCTTTTCAAAAAGCTTCCTCGGCTGAGCCACGTAACATGACAAAAAAAGAAGTAAATCTTTATATTCCGAGTCTTTGTCTTCAAGTTGACTACGGAATAGTCCAATATCCAATATTTTAATCAAATATTTTTGCACATAAGGCATTATTATGAAGTATGAAATGAAGTGATATGAAATTAGGAAACTGTTCATTTTGTTTGCAAATGGCTAAAATCTAACCCTACTTTTTCTTCAAATGTCTTTATCTCCCAAATTTTCTTATTAAATCATTATATATTTATAGATTATCCTAAAATATGATGTTTTAGCTTTAATTTGACATAAAAATCATTTCTTAACTCCCACAAATAAACCTTTGGCTATTTTTTAAAGTTCACACAGATTAAAAGATCAATATAACCCTACTTTTTCTTCAAATGTCTTTATCTCCCAAATTTTCTTATTAAATCATTATATATTTATAGATTACCTCAAAATATGATGTTTTAGCTTTAATTTGACATAAAAATCATTCCTTAACTCCCAAAAATAAAGCTTGGCCGATTTTTTAAAGTTCACACAGATGAAAAAATCAATATAACCCTACTTTTTCTTCAAATGTCTTTATCTCCCAAATTTTCTTATTAAATCATTATATATTTATAGATTATCTCAAAATATGATGCTTTAGCTTTAATTTGACATAAAAATCATTCCTTAACTCCCAAAAATAAAGCTTGGGCGATTTTTTAAAGTTCACACAGATGAAAAAATCAATATAACCCTACTTTTTCTTCAAATGTCTTTATCTCCCAAATTTTCTTATTAAATCATTATATATTTATAGATTATCTCAAAATATGATGTTTTAGCTTTAATTTGACATAAAAATCATTCCTTAACTCCCAAAAATAAAGCTTGGGCGATTTTTTAAAGTTCACACAGATGAAAAAATCAATATAACCCTACTTTTTCTTCAAATGTCTTTATCTCCCAAATTTTCTTATTAAATCATTATATATTTATAGATTATCTCAAAATATGATGTTTTAGCTTTAATTTGACATAAAAATCATTCCTTAACTCCCAAAAATAAAGCTTGGGCGATTTTTTAAAGTTCACACAGATGAAAAAATCAATATAACCCTACTTTTTCTTCAAATGTCTTTATCTCCCAAATTTTCTTATTAAATCATTATATATTTATAGATTATCTCAAAATATGATGTTTTAGCTTTAATTTGACATAAAAATCATTCCTTAACTCCCAAAAATAAAGCTTGGGCGATTTTTTAAAGTTCACACAGATGAAAAAATCAATATAACCCTACTTTTTCTTCAAATGTCTTTATCTCCCAAATTTTCTTATTAAATCATTATATATTTATAGATTATCTCAAAATATGATGTTTTAGCTTTAATTTGACATAAAAATCATTCCTTAACTCCCAAAAATAAAGCTTGGGCGATTTTTTAAAGTTCACACAGATGAAAAAATCAATATAACCCTACTTTTTCTTCAAATGTCTTTATCTCCCAAATTTTCTTATTAAATCATTATATATTTATAGATTATCTCAAAATATGATGTTTTAGCTTTAATTTGACATAAAAATCATTCCTTAACTCCCAAAAATAAAGCTTGGGCGATTTTTTAAAGTTCACACAGATGAAAAAATCAATATAACCCTACTTTTTCTTCAAATGTCTTTATCTCCCAAATTTTCTTATTAAATCATTATATATTTATAGATTATCTCAAAATATGATGTTTTAGCTTTAATTTGACATAAAAATCATTCCTTAATTCCCAAAAATAAAGCTTGACCGATTTTTTAAAGTTCACACAGATGAAAAAATCAATCTAACCCTACTTTTTCTTCAAATGTATTTATCTCCTAAATTTTCTTATTAAATCATTATATATTAATAGATTATCTCAAAATATGACGTTTTAGCTTTAATTTGACATAAAAATCATTCCTTAACTCCCAAAAATAAAGCTTGGCCGATTTTTTAAAGTTTACACAGATGAAAAAATCAATATAACCCTACTTTTTCTTCAAATGTCTTTATCTCCCAAATTTTCTTATTAAATCATTATATATCTATCGATTATCTCAAAATATGATGTTTTAGCTTTAATTTGAAATAAAAATCATTTCTTAACTCCCACAAATAAACCTTTGGCGATTTTTTAAAGTTCACACAGATTAAAAAATCAATATAACCTTACTTTTTTTTCAAAAGGTTATATCTCCCAAATTTTCTTATAAAATTATTATATATTTATGGATTATCACAAACTATGATCTTTTAGCTTTAATTTGACATAAAAATCATTTCTTAACTACCACAAATAAACCTTTGGCGATTTTTTAAAGTTCAGACAGATTAAAAAATCAATATAACCCTACTTTTTCTTCAAATGTCTTTATCTCCCAAATTTTCTTATTAAATCATTATATATTTATAGATTATCTCAAAATATGATGTTTTAGCTNAAAGCTATTTTTCAAAACGGGTTGGTTCATTGGAAAGAGAACACTTTTATTAACACTTTGGGAAATTTTCATACTCATATTCCAAGAACTGGATTTTATACTAATCTTTAAAACCTAATCGGCGAAAATTGCAAAATTTAAAAAAATTATCGATCATTTCAAAAATTTATTTCTCAAAAACTAAAAGCGATTTTTCTAAACGGCTTTTTGCATTAAAAAGAGGATATTTTAATTAATAATTGATGATATTTTCACAAATATCCTTCAATAAATTAATTTTATATTATTTCACACAAATGAAGAGATCAATATAACCCTACTTTTTCTTCAAACGTCTTTATCTCCAGATTTTTCTTATTAAATCGTAATATATTTATAGGTTATCTCACAATATGATGCTTTAGCTTTAATTTGAAATAAAAATCATTTCTTAACTCCCAAAAATAAAACTTGGGTGATTTTTTTAAAGTTCACACAGATGAAAAAATCAATATAACCCTACTTTTTTTTCATATGTCTTTATCTCCCAAATTTTCTTATTAAATCATTATATATTTATAGGTTATCTCAAAATATGATGTTTTAGCTTTAATTTGAAATAAAAATCATTTCTTAACTACCACAAATAAACCTTTGACGATTTTTTAAAGTTCACACAGATTAAAAAATCAATATAACCCTACTTTTTTTTCAAAAGGTTATATCTCCCAAATTTTCTTATAAAATTACTATATATATATGGATTATCACAAACTATGATCTTTTAGCTTTAATTTGATATAAAAATTATTCCTTAATTCCCAAAAATAAACCTTGGGTGGTTTTTTAAAGTTCACACAAATGAAGAGATCAATATAGCCCTACTTTTTCTTCAAACGTCTTTATCTCCAGATTTTTCTTATTAAATCGTAATATATTTATAGATTATCTCAAAATATGATGTTTTAGCTTTAATTTGAAATAAAAATCATTTCTTAATTCCCACAAATAAACCTTTGGCGATTCTTTAAAGTTCACACAGATTAAAAAATCAATATAACCCTACTTTTTCTTCAAATGTCTTTATCTCCCAAATTTTCTTATTAAATCATTATATATTTATAGATTATCTCAAAATATGATGTTTTAGCTTTAATTTGACATAAAAATCATTCCTTAACTCCCAAAAATAAAGCTTGGGCGATTTTTTAAAGTTCACACAGATGAAAAAATCAATATAACCCTACTTTTTTTTTCAAATGTCTTTATCTCCCAAATTTTCTTATTAAATCATTATATATTTATAAGTTATCTCAAAATATGATGTTTTAGCTTTAATTTGACATAAAAATCATTTCTTAACTCCCAAAAATAAAGCTTGGCCGATTTTTTAAAGTTTACACAGAGGAAAAAATCAATATAATCCTACTTTTTCTTCAAATGTCTTTATCTCCCAAATTTTCTTATTAAATCATAATATATTTATAGATTATCTCAAAATATGATGTTTTAGCTTTATTTTGAAATAAAAATCATTCCTTAACTCCCAAAAATAAAGCTTGGCCGATTTTTTTAAAGTTCACACAGATGAAAAAATCAATATAACCCTACTTTTTTTTCAAATGTTTTTATCTCCCAAATTTTCTTATTAAATTATTATATATTTATAGATTATCTCAAAATATGATGTTTTAGCTTTATTTTGAAATAAAAATCATTCCTTAACTCCCAAAAATAAAGCTTGGCCGATTTTTTTAAAGTTCACACAGATGAAAAAATCAATATAACCCTACTTTTTTTTCAAATGTTTTTATCTCCCAAATTTTCTTATTAAATTATTATATATTTATAGATTATCTCAAAATATGATGTTTTAGCTTTAATTTGACATAAAAATCATTCCTTAACTCCCAAAAATAAAGCTTGGGCGATTTTTTAAAGTTCACACAGATGAAAAAATCAATATAACCCTACTTTATCTTCGAATGTATTTATCTCCCAAATTTTCTTATTAAATCATTATATATTTATAGATTATCTCAAAATATGATGTTTTAGCTTTAATTTGACATAAAAATCATTCCTTAACTCCCAAAAATAAAACTTGGGCGATTTTTTTAAAGTTCACACAGATGAAAAAATCAATATAACCCTACTTTTTTTTTTCAAATGTTTTTATCTCCCAAATTTTCTTATTAAATCATAACATATTTAAGGATTATCATAAAATATAATCTTTTAGCTTTAATTTGACATAAAAATCATTCCTTAACTCCCAAAAATAAAGCTTGGGCGATTTTTTAAAGTTCACATAGATGAAAAAATCAATATAACCCTACTTTTTCTTCAAATGTTTTTATCTCCCAAATTTTCTTATTAAACCATATTATATTTATGGATTATCATAAAATATAATCTTTTAGCTTTAATTTGACATAAAAATCATTCCTTAACTCCCAAAAATAAAGCTTGGGCGATTTTTTAAAGTACAATTTAAAACTTTCTAGTTCTAGGTGTAGTGTTAGTTCTAGTTTTACACTAGCATTATCAGTAGAACTAACACAAGACCTAGAACTAGAATCACTCGTGTTTAGCTGTTTTATGTGACGAACGGCTAAATCTGAATGTTTCTTGTTTTAGGTCAAGTGTTAGTTCTACTGATAGTGCTAATGTAAAACTAGTTAGTCTAGTTAGAGGTTTGGTGTTAGTAATCCTGCGAAACCAACTAAAAAAGATACAAAAATCCTTAAGTGTCAAATTTCTTAGAAAATTTAGTTTAATCTCAATCATTCAAACCTGTTACATTTAATATAATTTTACCATTATGTAACGATGTTTATATTGATGACCTTTTCCGCACTCAACATCGCAAGTTGACCAATCAGACCATTTCGAAACGACGCAATCTACATCTTCAGTTACTAAACTATCGCTTTCAAACGGTGTGGTTTCTAAGAAATACAAAAAAAATTATTATAATTATAACTTAATTAATATTAAAAATAATACTAATTAATGATAACATTAATGAATGTGGTTACCGGATTTTCCATAATGTGGTTGATCATTGGGTTCATTTTGATAACGTCCACTTTTCGTAGAATTACTATGTAAGTGTCCTGTGGTTTGCGTGTAAAAGACACAAAACCGAAACGTTTGATATCATGAATATTGGTTAAACATTGTCAATATCGTTACCACAGAGCCGCTCGCAGGCTTCCAAAGTTCTGAAATTGTTTGAATTTCCCTCGCAACCGCTAAAGTTAAACAGTTCGCATTTCCCTCGATATAAATTATAGTACCACCTATCTGTGAAGCTTCTGCACAATCCGGGAACCATCGGGAGCGAACACGCGTTTGCTGTTAGTAGGGGGGTTAGTAACACGTTTAAATCTACGGAATTAGTTTAGTTTTGGGTTTATTGAAATTGGCTTACCAGTGACGGTTTCGTCGCATTCAGCCTCTTGTTCGCTTTCACATTCGACAGTTTCAGTAATATCATCGCATTCGCCAGGTTCGTATCCATCATTTCGATCATCTTCGTCGTTATTTTCATAATCATCTTGATAATGTCTCCTATTTCTTTGATACGTTATATTTTTTTCGTAAGGCAATTTTTTTCGCATTTTAACACCTTTTCCGCAAGTTGCCGAACACGGAGTCCATTCGCTCCATTCTAATTTTTCGCACTCCTCGGGAATTTGAGGTTGTTCCTCGTGGGATTCGCAATCTCTTTCGAAGCATGGGACGTTTTCTTGGAGAATAGGAACTGAAGAGAATCTGAATGGGCAGAATTTTGCGGCACTTTTTGATTTAAATTGTCTACTTCTTGTTTTTGTTCCTCTTCCGCATGGGACGCTGCATCCTGACCATGGGCCGAATGATGATAATTGGCAGTCTTCGTCGATGTTTCCTGGGTTATAACACCTCTCGGTTTTTGCGGTGCAAGAGGAGCGTTTGGTTAAGGTTTGTTTGCAATAACTTTGTTGTCTTGCATAATCGGGGTCTTGATTTTTGTAGCGTCGTTGTTTGTGGCGCATTCCTCGGCCACATTTCGCGGAGCAACTTGACCATTCTGACCATTCGGTTACGTTGCAATATCCTTCTTGTTTTATGGGGTCAATATATCTATCAACACCGTCTGAGTTGCAATTTTTTTCGTATAATCGTTGCCGTGAAAGAATTAATCGCGCCAAAGGTTTCATTTCTGAGCCACTTTCGTCGTGGAAAGGAGATGCGCTATCGTTTGTTGTGATTCTTTTTATTATTTGGCGGGGATTTGATGGTTTGTTATCAGACTTGAAATGAATTCGGTTTTTAATCAAGTGGAAAAATAGGTAGAGGTTTTTTCATATATCAGAAAATTGGATCTTTGTTGGAAAAGAAAGTGCCGAAAAGTGACTAATACTAGATTAACCTCAGTTATAAAACTTCTATTATATGATAACTAACGTCAGGTTTAAAATTTTGACATATTTGTAATCTTCATTAAAAATCCTTTAAAATGAGTACAAACACGACATATTTATCTTCAATATTAATGAAGTTATGCTCAACTTCCGGTTAAGAATGTCAACGTCAATTTTGACATATTTGTAATCGTCGCGAAAAATCCTTTAAAATGGGTCCAAACATGATGCGTCTAATTCCAATATTACTCGAGATATAACCAACTTCCGGTTTGAAATGTCGATGTCATTTTGACATATCTTTAATTTTTATAAAATGTCTTAATATTTGTCACAAAAACAAAAATATAATAAAAAAAAAAATCAAAAATTAAGGTTGGTATTAATATTTAAAAATTAAATTGCTATCTTCATTGTTGCTAACTTCGGGTTTAATGTTTTTTATTCTAACTTTTTTGTTTTTTGAGATAACTACGTCATCTTTGGACTCATTTTAAAGGATTTTTTATGAAGTTGACAAATATGTCAAAATTAAAAGTTGAAAGTTCGAACTTTTTGGTTTTTTGAGATAAATGCGTCATGTTTGGACTCATTTTAAAGGTTATTTTAAGAAGATTACGAATATAATAATAAAATTAAAGTTATTACTGTTACAACTGAAAGTTTTTTTACGACTAAACCCGAATGATTCCAGTTCTAAGTTTGTTATTGTTATTTTTGAGAAGATTCATGACTTTAAAAGTGTGTAGAAAATGAATTGATCATCCTGAAAGCTTTAAAGTTGACACAACCTAACTTCAAACGTTTCTTTATAACCTCAAAAAGTTAAATTTTTTCAATCTTAATCGTTTCGTAGAAAATATTTTTTTTATAATCACACTTTTAAGAAACGTCAAATTCAATAGGAGATATTTAAAGATTAATATCAAGCGAATCGTTCACTTTGAAAGGTTATAATTTGGTACAAATTAATCTCAAACGTCTCTTTATAACCTCAAAAAATTGCATTCTTTCACTTTTAACCGTTTTGGAGAAAACGATTTTTTTATAACCTCACTTTTACTAAAACGTCAAATTGAATAGGAGATTTTTAAAGATTAATATCAAACGAATCGTTCACTTTGAAAGGTTATAATTTTTACAAATTAATCTCAAACGTCCCTTTACAACCTCAAAAAGTTTCATTCTTTCAATCTTAACCCTTTCGAAAAAAACGATTTTTTTATAACCTCACTTTTAATAAAACGTCAAATTGAATAGGAGATTTTTAAAGATTAATATCAAGCGAATCGTTCACTTTGAAAGGTTATAATTTGGTACAAATTAATCTCAAACGTTCCTTTACAACCTCAAAAAGTTTCATTCTTTCAATCTTAACCCTTTCGAAGAAAACGATTTTTTTATAACCACACTTTTAGGAAACGTCAAATTCAATAGGAGATTTTTAAATGTTAATTAGAAGCGAATCGTTTACTTTGAAATGTTATAATTTGGCACAAATTAATCTCAAACGTTCCTTTATAATCTCAAAAAGTTTCATTCTTTCAATCTTAACCCTTTCGAAAAAAACGATTTTTTTATAACCACACTTTTAAGAAACGTCAAATTCAATAGGAGGTTTTTAAAGATTAATATCAAGCGAATCGTTCACTTTGAAAAGTTATAATTTGGTACAAATTAATCTCAAACGTTCCTTTACAACCTCAAAATGTTTCGTTCTTTCAATCTTAACCATTTCGAAAAAAAAACGATTTTTTTATAATCACACTTTTAAGAAACGTCAAATTCAATAGGAGATTTTTAAATATTAATATCAAGCGAATCGTTCACTTTGAAAGGTTATAATTTGGTACAAATTAATCTCAAACGTTCCTTTACAACCTCAAAAAGTTTCATTCTTTCAATCGTAACCGTTTCGAAAAAAACAATTTTTCTATAATCACACTTTTAAGAAACATCAAATTCAATAGGAGATATTTAAAGATTAATATCAAGCGAATCGTTCACTTTGAAATGTTATAATTTGGTACTAATTAATTTTAAACGTTCCTTTATAACCTCAAAAAGTTTCATTCTTTCAATCTTAACCGTTTCGAAAAAAAAACGATTTTTTAATAACCACACTTTTAAGAAACGTCAAATTCAATAGGAGATTTTTAAATGTTAATTTGAAGCGAATCGTTCACTTTGAAAGGTTATAATTTGGTACAAATTAATCTCAAACGTCCCTTTACAACCTCAAAAAGTTTCATTCTTTCAATCTTAACCCTTTCGAAAAAAAAACGATTTTTTTATAACCACACTTTTAAGAAACGTCAAATTCAATAGGAGATTTTTAAATGTTAATTTGAAGCGAATCGTTCACTTTGAAAGGTTATAATTTGGTACAAATTAATCTCAAACGTCCCTTTACAACCTCAAAAAGTTTCATTCTTTCAATCTTAACCCTTTCGAAAAAAAAACGATTTTTTTATAACCACACTTTTAAGAAACGTCAAATTCAATAGGAGATATTTAAAGATTAATATCTAGCGAATCGTTTACTTTGAAAGGTTATAATTTGGTACAAATTAATCTCAAACGCCCCTTTATAACCTCAAAAAGTTTCATTCTTTCAATCTTAACCCTTTCGAAGAAAACGATTTTTTTATAACCACACTTTTAAGAAACGTCAAATTCAATAGGAGATTTTTAAATGTTAATTTGAAGCGAATCGTTTACTTTGAAAGGTTATAATTTGGTACAAATTAATCTCAAACGTTCCTTTACAACCTCAAAAAGTTTCATTCTTTCAATCTTAACCCTTTTGAAAAAAAACGATTTCTTTATAACCACACTTTTAAGAAACGTCAAATTCAATGGGAGATATTTAAAGATTAATATCAAGCGAATCGTTCACTTTGAAAGGTTATAATTTGGTACAAATTAATCTCAAACGTTCCTTTATAATCTCAAAAAGTTTCATTCTTTCAATCTTAACCCTTTCGAAAAAAACGATTTTTTTATAACCTCACTTTCAATAAAACGTCAAATTGAATAGGAGATTTTTAAAGATTAATATTAAGCGAATCGTTTACTTTGAAAGGTTATAATTTGGTACAAATTAATGTCAAACGTTCCTTTATAACCTCAAAAAGTTCCATTCTTTCAATTTTAACCGTTTTGGAGAAAACGATTTTTTTGTAACCACACTTTTAAAAAACGTCAAATTCAATAGGAGATTTTTAAATGTTAATATGAAGCGAATCGTTTACTTTGAAAGGTTATAATTTGGTACAAATTAATCTCAAACGTTCCTTTATAACCTCAAAAAGTTTCATTCTTTCAATCTTAACCCTTTCGAAAAAAAAACGATTTTTTTATAACCACACTTTTAAGAAACGTCAAATTCAATAGGAGATATTTAAAGATTAATATCTAGCGAATCGTTTACTTTGAAAGGTTATAATTTGGTACAAATTAATCTCAAACGCCCCTTTACAACCTCAAAAAGTTTCATTCTTTCAATCTTAACCGTTTCGAAAAAAACGATTTTTTTATAACCTCACTTTTAATAAAACGTCAAATTGAATAGGAGATTTTTTAAAGATTAATATCAAGCGAATCATTCACTTTGAAAGCTTATAATTTGGTACAAATTAATCTCAAATGCCCCTTTATAACCTCAAAAAATTGCATTCTTTCAATTTTAACCGTTTTGGAGAAAACGATTTTTTTGTAACCACACTTTTAAGAAACGTCAAATTCAATAGGAGATATTTAAAGATTAATATCAAGCGAATGGTTCACTTTGAAAGGTTATAATTGGGTACAAATTAATCTCAAACGTTCCTTTATAATCTCAAAAAATTGCATTCTTTCAATTTTAACCGTTTTGAAGAAAACGATTTTTTTGTAATCACACTTTTAAAAAACGTCAAATTCAATAGGAGACTTTTAAAGATTAATATCAAGCGAATCGTTCACTTTGAAATGTTATAATTTGGTACTAATTAATCTCAAACGTTCCTTTACAACCTCAAAAAGTTTCATTCTTTCAATCTTAACCGTTTCGAAAAAAACGATTTTTTTATAACCACACTTTTAAGAAACGTCAAATTCAATAGGAGATTTTTAAATGTTAATATCAAGCGAATCGTTCACTTTGAAAGTTTATAATTTGGTACAAATTAATCTCAAATGTTCCTTTATAATCTCAAAAAGTTTCATTCTTTTAATCTTAACCTTTTCGAAAAAAACGATTTTTTTATAACCTCACTTTTAATAAAACGTCAAATTGAATAGGAGATTTTTAAAGAATAATATCAAGCGAATCGTTCACTTTGAAAGGTTATAATTTGGTACTAATTAATCTCAAACGTTCCTTTACAACCTCAAAAAGTTTCATTCTTTCAATCTTAACCGTTTCGAAAAGAAAACGATTTTTTTATAATCACACTTTTAAGAAACGTCAAATTCAATAGGAGATATTTAAATATTAATATCAAGCGAATCGTTCACTTTGAAAGGTTATAATTTGGTACAAATTAATCTCAAACGTTCCTTTATAACTTCAAAAAATTGCATTATTTCAATTTTAACCGTTTTGGAGAAAACGATTTTTTCATAACCAAACTTTTAAGAAACGTCAAATACAATATGAAATATTTAAAGATTAATATCAAGCGAATCGTTCACTTTGAAAGGTTATAATTTGGTACAAATTAATCTCAAACGTTCCTTTATAATCTCAAAAAATTGCATTCTTTCAATTTTAACCGTTTTGGAGAAAACGATTTTTTCATAACCACACTTTTAAGAAACGTCAAATTCAATAGGAGATTTTTAAATGTTAATATCAAGCGAATCGTTCACTTTGAAAGGTTACAATTTGGCACAAATTAATCTTAAACCTTCTTTTATAATCTCAAAAAGCTGCATTCACCATCATTCGGGTTTAGCCGATTTGAGAGAAACGTTTTGACCAAGCCGAATGTTCTAGAATCTAGATCTAGATCTAGTTCCAGATTTAGTGTTAGTTCTAATTTTAGTTCAATAAAATTGTCACTAGAACTAACAGTAGACCTAGAACTACAAACATTCGGGTTTAGCCGCACTATAAGGTTAATCAAGTGGAAAAGTAAGTAGAGGTTTTCTCATATATCAGAAAATTGGATCTTTGTGGAAATTAAATTACTCAGTGCCGATCGTGATATTGAGAGAATATTTAAGTTGCATAAAAAAAATTTAATTTGATTTTACCAGATAAGTATCGCCATCATCCGTTCCTGCATCCCAGGGATATAAATTTAGGGTTTTTCCTTCGACCCAAGAACAATTTTTTAAGCAAAGCTCTAAACTTGATACTCCCACGATCCAATCAGGAGAGGGATGAATCATCGACACCAACGACATTAAATGGTGTTTTTTATCTACGCGAAAAACTGCAAACGTTTTCCCGGTGATATTAGGGTAACTGATTCCTCTTGCTTTAATAATGGTCCTAATGTGCTCACTCTGAAACGAAATAAGATAACTTTGTTTCGTTTTATTTATTTTCTTTTTTACCTTATCTTTGAGTTCTCGCTCCAGTTCCCTCGTGTTTCCATTTTCGGCTAATTGTTGTAAACCCCCGCTTGCATAACCACCATAAGACCAAAAAGTGTAATTAACTGTGTGAGATGCCCCTATAATGTCACTAAACCTCGTCATCCAATTATATTTAGGAAAATCTTTAGGATGCGTATTCCTCGACCATAACCCCTCAAAAGTGACTTCATATTTAGCTTCGTGGCAAGCACAACATTCCTCGAGAATCGGCGGTTGATAATCTTCGTTATCCTGGGATTCGGCACAAAGAATTTTTGTTAATTTACCATCATCGCTGTACCACCTATCAACGGATTCAACCACAGTTGCTCTTATAGCTATGCACCCAGTTCCATTGGTGGGTGCGGTCCATAACACCGTTATTTGAGTCTTCCCTATCGAATTAATATGCTCAATAGCATTCGGGCATTTATCACTATACTTAATAAGTCCATCCCCTTGAATTTGCAAAACCCCAACTGAAGTATTATGCTGCGAATTATCATCGGTATCGCTGGGTTCGACAACTAACACAAAGTTGGTGAATCTCTTTTCATCGTGGGAAAAAGTCGCCCCTTTCAATACAACTAAAAAAATTTAAATGAATTATTACTAAAAATTTGTTCCATTCAATTCGACTAAGTTGACGTCGAAACCAATTTGGTGTAAAGTCGTAAATTTTGAAACTAATACACGTCCAACTGTTTGGGCGATAATGAATTTTCGCCCGCCGGTCAAACCGTTATTGCCAAGTTTTGGGAACGTTAGCGAAATTCCTTATTGAGATGCGTGAGTTATGAAATGTTGGAATGTATTGAATTCAATAACATAAACTAGTGATGGAACTAATAGTGATTTTAATATATATATGTATATATAATTTCTGGTGTATTTCTGAAGAGATATCCTATATTTCCACATTATTACGATATTTAGATATCAACTTATATGGATCCAAGATACAAAATGAACTTTTTTGATACTGATTTAACAGATTTAATACTTTAATTAATAATTGAAATATGAAAAATATGGAAATTTTCACACTTATATTCCATGAAATGGATTTTATACGAATTTTTAGAACATGATCGGCTAAAATTGCAAAATTCGAAAAAATTGTTCATTTCAAAAATTTATTTCTCAAAAACTAAAAGTGATTTTTCAAAACGGCTTATTGCATTAAAAAGAGGATATTTTAATTAATAATTGGTGATATTTCCACAAGGATCCGTCAAGAAATTAATTTTATAGCGAATTTTGAAAGTTATCCATTAAAATTGCAACATCGAAAATTTTACCAAAACTTCAAATATTGTTGTCTCAAAAACTAAAAGTTATTTTTCAAAACGTGTTGGATCATTGGAAAGAGGACACTTTTATTAACACTTTGAGAAATTTTCATACTCATATTCCAAGAAATGGATTTTATACGAATTTTTAAAACTTAATGGCGAAAATTGCAAAATTCGAAAACATTGTCTTAAAAATTTGTTTCTCAACAACTAAAAGTGATTTTTCAAAACGGCTTGTTGCATTAAAAAGAGGATATTTTAATTAATAATTGGTGATATTTCTACAAAGATCCTTCAAGAAATTAATTTTATAGCGAATTTTGAAAGTTATCGATGTAAATTGTAACCTCAAAAATTTTATCAAAACTTCAAATATTGTTTTCTCAAAAACTAAAAGTTATTTTTCAAAACGGGTTGGTTCATTGGAAAGAGAACACTTTTATCAACACTTTGGGAATTTTTCAAACTCATATTCCAAGAACTGGATTTTATACGAATTTTTAAAACTTAATCGGCGAAAATTGCAAAATTTGAAAAAATTGTTCATTTCAAAAATTTATTTCTCAAAAACTAAAAATGATTTTTCAATACGGGTTTTTGCATTAAAAAGAGGATACTTTAATTAATAATTGGTGATATTTCCACAAGGATCCTTCAAGAAATTAATTTTATAGCGAATTTTGAAAATTATCGATGAAAATTGCAACATCGAAAATTTTATCAAAACTTCAAATATTGTTTTCTCAAAAACTAAAAGTTATTTTTCAAAACGGGTTGGTTCATTGGAAAGAGGACACTTTTATTAACACTTTGGGAAATTTTCATACTCATATTCAAAAAAATGGATTTTATACGAATTTTTAAAACTTAATCGGCGAAAATTGCAAAATTCAAAAACATTGTCTTAAAAATTTATTTTTCAAAAACTAAAAGCGATTTTTCAAAACGGCTTGTAGTATTAAAAAGAGGATACTTCAATTAATAATTGGTGATATTTCCACAAGGATCCTTCAAGAAATTAATTTTATAGCGAATTTTGAAAGTTATCGATGTAAATTGTAACCTCGAAAATTTTATCTAAACTTCAAATATTGTTTTCTCAAAAACTAAAAGTTATTTTTCAAAATGTGTTGGATCATTAGAAAGAGGACCCTTTTATTAACACTTTGGGAAATTTTCATACTCATATTCCAAGAAATGGATTTTATACGAATTTTTAAAACTTAAAAAACTTCAAATATTGTTTTTTCAAAAACTAAAAGTTATTTTTCAAAACGTGTTGGATCATTGGAAAGAGGACACTTTTATTAACACTTTGGGAAATTTTCATGCTCATATTAAAAAAAATGTATTTTATACGAATTTTTAAAACTTAATAGGCGAAAATTGCAAAATTCCAAAAAAATTGTTTCAAAAATTTATTTTTCAAAAACTAAAAGTGATTTTTCAAAACGGCCTGTAGCATTAAAAAGAGGATATTTTAATTAATAATTGGTGATATTTCCACAAGGATCCTTCAAGAAATTAATTTTATAACGAATTTTGAAAATTATCGATGTAAATTGCAATATTGAAAATTTGATCAAAACTTCAAATATTGTTTTCTCAAAAACTAAAAGTTATTTTTCAAAACGTGTTGGATCATTGGAAAGAGGGCACTTTTATTAACACTTTGGGAAATTTTCATACTCATATTCCAAGAAATGGATTTTATACGAATTTTTAAAACTTAATCGGCGAAAATTGCAAAATTCGAAAAAATTGTCGATCATTTCAAAAATTTATTTCTCAAGAACTAAAAGTGATTTTTCAAAACGGCTTTTTGCATTAAAAAGAGGATACTTTAATTAATAATTGGTGATATTTCCACAAGGATCCTTCAAGAAATTAATTTTATAGCGAATTTTGAAAATTATCGATGAAAATTGCAACATCGAAAATTTTATCAAAACTTCAAATATTGTTTTCTCAAAAACTAAAAGGTATTTTTCAAAACGGGTTGGATCATTGGAAAGAGGACACTTTTATTAACACTTTGGGAAATTTTTATACTCATATTGCAAGAAATGGATATTATACGAATTTTTAAAACTTAATCTGCGAAAATTGCAAAATTCGAAAACATTGTCTTAAAAATTTATTTTTCAAAAACTAAAAGCGATTTTTCAAAACGGCTTGTTGCATTAAAAAAAGGATATTTTAATTAATAATTGGTGATATTTCCACAAGGATCCTTCAAGAAATTAATTTTATAGCGAATTTTGAAAATTATCGATGAAAATTGCAACATCGAAAATTTTATCAAAACTTCAAATATTGTTTTCTCAAAAACTAAAAGTTATTTTTCAAAACGGGTTGGTTCATTGGAAAGAGGACACTTTTATTAACACTTTGGGAAATTTTCATACTCATATTCCAAGAAATGGATTTTATACGAATTTTTAAAACTTAATCGGCGAAAATTGCAAAATTCGAAAAAATTGTCGATCATTTCAAAAATTTATTTCTCAAGAACTGAAAGTGATTTTTCAAAACGGCTTTTTGCATTAAAAAGAGGATACTTTAATTAATAATCGAAAGTGATAACAGCGACAGTTCTGTTAGTAATGAATGTGATGACGAATTACAAGCGAAGAGAAGAAAACTAGACGAAACTGTAACAAGAGATTTTACATATCGTATTGAAGAAAGTCCTATTGGGGTTGAACTTGATTATTATCTGCAGTGTCCAACACCTAAAAGAGATATTAATTCATGTGAAAGGTGGAGTACTAAGTAATAGGTTTTTAATATCCGGCTTTGGCCGTTCCACCACTAACATAAACTAAATTAATAAATTAAAAATAACTTCCTTAATTAATCACTTAAAAAAAACATGAAAGCTAACGTAAGCTGTTTTATTATCCCCTAATGTGTCCCCAGATCAAAGAGAGATTAATAACGCTCGAAAGAGCATTATTTCATCCTCGAAAAGGAAAGAATTTCGTTCTTTATTGGGTCGATTAATTGCCAGTGTACCAGATGCAGCTCGGGTTATATCCGGGATTTAATTTCGTTCTCCCACAGAATAAGCGGGCATATTTAAGCAAATTGGGCCCTCTAAAAACCTTTTGTCCATCGTAGACCGATGAGGGAATTTGATTTGCGGTACTTTCTTAAATTTGACTTAAATTTTATTAAACTCTAGATAAGCCCGGTAATGGAAAAGCACGCTCGGTTATACGCGGAGGTACGAAAACGAATTCGCCTCGAAATAGAAACGGGCGAACGCAGCTTCTCGCTATGATGAAAGGGGCTTTAACGGCAAACGAGGGCGCGTTTTATTTTCGCGCATGGGAAATAATTCGTGGAATTCGTTTTGGGTCAATTAAAAAGTCAAGACTTTTTATTTGTAATAATACGGTGTGGCGAATGTGCGCGAAACTGTTCGGCGTAAAATAGGAAGTTGCTAGTTGACCACTGCCCCCACAATTGATGATAAATTGCACCGCGTTTGGCACACTCACCGCCAATTAATTACTCTGGTAATTTACATCACGCCTAGTGACCATGTGATGCTCAAATGGCAGTTCCACTTTACCATCTACAATATTAGTACGCATCAATTTAGATTATTATTGTAGCAAAGAAGCATTATCTAACTCTTTTTTGCGAATAGAAAGACATTTTTTTCTGTTCTGGATTTTATTAGGCTTTTTTTTACATAGTAATAATAGAGGATTATAATAAAGGCACTATTAAACTATGTCGAGGTCTGGAGAAAAAGCTTCTTATGAAAGGAATTATGATTTAAGAGATAGCCATCGACGATAAATTTATGCACATTGCAAGAGCAAGGAGGAAAGGGTCGGACAACCAAAAAATAGGAGAGAATGAGAGTCTGCGTGAATTTAATGCAAGAGTGATGATGCTAAGATGGTAATACCCATTGTGGCGAAGAAAGTGTAGATGAATGACAAAAGTTGTGTAACTACCACAATCTAGTGAAGGAGTTCATGCTTAAAAACTCACAAATATTGAGATGGATGGTAATAGCTTGCATATGAAAATAAAACATAACTTAATGAGGAAAGGATAATACTTTGTAAAAACATATATATGGTAGAGGGCTAGGTAGAGTCGATAGACAAAGCGAGTCCATCCAGAACCACCAAACACTACAGTTTTCCGCTACCTCCATTTATTATCAGACTCATCAAAGAGAAAACACGCCTATATCGAGACTTCAGGGTATATGAAGTGCCTGAGTTGAAAAAGAAGTTTAATGAGTTCAACAAAACGATACAGAAACT